TAGACTGATCATATGATTTTATTTGCTTAATATATAACACATCCAGGCTTGTTGTCTCCTTGATAAATGAATTTCATCTGGCAAATTATTGGTGAAATAACTGTTGCTGGTGGAACATATAAAGCTATGGAATTTGTTGGCAGCACTGTTAAAGCTTATCTGTAAGTGAATTTTACTGTATGTATGATCATACCATTCATCTGGTTGTATCTGTTAATTACTCTTTCACAAACCTGTGCTGGACAGATGGAAGAACGAATGACATTATGCAACATGGTTGTTGAGGCTGGAGGTAAAAATGGTATTGTTCCTGCCTATGATGCATGGACACGGGTAACAGCCAGCGTATCCCGTATCTGACACGCAGGGATACGGATACGCATAGAATACGTGTGGATACGAGCCCGATACGTATCGGAATGAAGGGATACGTTATTTATTGATGAGATACGCGTATCATACTGTCGAGATACGCGTATCACACTTTTCGGATACGTTTTCAACTAAATCAGAGGATAATCCAACTAAATCAGAGGATAATCAGAAGAAAAAAAATAAAAAATAAATCAAGAAATCCGCACAGAATCGTGATTGATTCCAATTAGCTAAACTGAAACGATTGTTTGGCTAAAACCCAAAACGATTTTGGGTATAAAATAATGATTTACCTATTTTTCTTCACTTGAACCTCAGAAATCAGAATTCAGAAATCAGACTTGTCGTCTGATACTGCTCCGTCGTCTCTGTCCAACTGCTTCGTCGTCTCCATAGTCACCGTCTGCAACTGCTGGTAAGAGCTTTCGACTTCGTTTTCACTATGTTAATTTTGAAGCTCAATTTGGTTCCCAGAAGCAGAACCCGGATCTGCAGCTGAAAGGAAAGCTGCTTTCTTGTTTTTAATTTCGAAGTTAAAGGCTATTGCTTTGAGTCCTGATTCAATGTGTAGGTTGGAAAAAGGCTTTTGCTTTTTGTATATAATATATTAAATTAATATAGTAGTCGAATGAATTAGATCTGGCAATTTCTGACACGACCCGATAATCGGACACGACACGACACGAAATTAACAGGTGTTTGGGTCGACACGATAACGAATCGGGTCTTATCGGGTAACCCGATAAGCACCTGTTAAGATAACGGGTTGGGTCGGGTATACACGTGGGTAAACACGATACACGATAAGCAGAATATTATTTTTATAATTTTATAACCCTAAAAAAATACTGTAATAATTATATACATTAATTTACAATTTTATACCCCTAAAAATTATAATAAATATATATATATATATATATATTAAATTAACTATAAAATTTATAATTATTATATATACTATAATAATTATACCCCCAAAATATTAAGTCTATCTATACTAATTATATATATATATATTAAATTTTATAAAAACTATAATGCATATTAATTAATAATTTAATATGCATGAATCATGATCATGCATTTGCCAACTTGCCGCCCTTTTTGAAAAAAAAAATGGAGGGAAAATGAAAATGTTAAGAAAAGTTGAAAATAAAACAAAAAAGTGAGGGAATTAGGGAAAGATGTTGGAGGGAAAAGTGAAAATGATAAAAAAAAGTTGAAAAGGAAACAAAAAAAAGAGGGAAAAATGAAAATTAATAGAAGTGGTGAGAAATTTTTTTTTTTTTTTTTAAGTTATTAACTTTTTATCACATACATGACTGTCATGACATATCTCACTATTTTTATAATGACACACGTGACACGTGATGTATGTACTATTCCGTGTACTAGTCAATTATAATTTATACGTACAAAATAAATAGATTTAAATCTACTTAATAAATATATATATATATATACACACACACACACACGGAACTTGATTGATGGCATACGAATTCTCCAAAACTAATTTCAACGATCCCAACCGTCAAACTTGTTTGTATATGCTTTGAGATCACATCAACAAAAAATCATAAAAAATAAACATTCAGAGATCAAGTAACGGGACAAAGCTTTTCAACGGTTATAAACGAAAAATCACGATTTAACGATTATTTTAACTCGGATTTTGATGATTTTTTATAACTACACTCCTTGACCCTATATGAATACAATGAATGAATTCGATATTCAATTTAAAATATTTACACAAGTGGATACCACAAAATCTTTTGTTATACTTAATGAAAGTATAAATAAACTCTAAGTGTTAGTCAATCTATCGTTTTACGAATTCTCCAAAACTAATTTCAACGATCCAAACCGTCAAAATTGTTTGTATATGCTTGGAGATCACATCAGCGAAAAATCACAAAAAAAAAAACATTCAGAGATTAAGTAACGGGACAAAGCTTTTCAACGGTTATAAACGAAAAATCACGATTTAACGGTTATTTTAACTCCGATTTTGATGATTTTTTATAACTACACTCCTTGACCCTATATGAATACAATGAATGAATTCGATCTTCAATTTAAAATATTTACACAAGTGGATACCACAAAATCTTATGTTATACTTAATAAAAGTATAAATAAACTCTAAGTGTTAGTCAATCTATCGTTTTACGAATTCTCCAAAACTAATTTCAACGATCCAAACCGTTAAAATTGTTTGTATATGCTTGGAGATCACATCAGCAAAAAATCACAAAAAAAAAACATTCAAAGATCAAGTAACGGGACAAAGCTTTTCAACAGTTATAAACGAAAAATCACGATTTAACGGTTATTTTAACTCCGATTTTGATGATTATTTATAACTACACTCCTTGACCCTATATGAATACAATGAATGAATTCGATCTTCAATTTAAAATATTTACACAAGTGGATACCACAAAATCTTATGTTATACTTAATAAAAGTATAAATAAACTCTAAGTGTTAGTCAATCTATCGTTTTACGAATTCTCCAAAACTAATTTCAACGATCCAAACCGTCAAAATTGTTTGTATATGCTTGGAGATCACATCAGCAAAAAATCACAAAAAAAAAACATTCAAAGATCAAGTAACGGGACAAAGCTTTTCAACGGTTATAAATGAAAAATCACGATTTAACGGTTATTTTAACTCCGATTTTGATGATTTTTTATAACTACACTCCTTGACCTTATATGAATACAGTGAATGAATTCGATCTTCAATTTAAAATATTTACACAAGTGGATACCACAAAATCTTATGTTATACTTAATGAAAGTATAAATAAACTCTAAGTGTTAGTCAATCTATCGTTTTACGAATTCTCCAAAACTAATTTCAACGATCCAAACCGTCAAAATTGTTTGTATATGCTTGGAGATCACATCAGCAAAAAATCACAAAAAAAAAAAACATTCAGAGATCAAGTAACGGGACAAAGCTTTTCAACGGTTATAAACGAAAAATCACGATTTAACGGTTATTTTAACTCCGATTTTGATGATTTTTTATAACTATACTCCTTGACCCTATATGAATACAATGAATGAATTCGATCTTCAATTTAAAATATTTACACAAGTGGATACCACAAAATCTTATGTTATACTTAATGAAAGTATAAATAAACTCTAAGTGTTAGTCAATCTATCGTTTTACGAATTCTCCAAAACTAATTTCAACGATCCAAACAGTCAAAATTGTTTGTATATGCTTGGAGATCACATCAGCAAAAAATCACAAAAAAAAAACATTCAGAGATCAAGTAACGGGACAAAACTTTTCGACGGTTATAAACGAAAAATCAAGATTTAACGGTTATTTTAACTCTGATTTTGATGAATTTTAACAGCTACACTCCTTGACCCTATATGAATACAAAGAATGAATTTGATCTTCAATTTAAAATATTTACACTAGTGGAATTTATATACTTAATAAAAGTATGAATCAACTATAATATTAATAATTATATACATTTAATATTTGTAATAGATTAGTAGTGTATGTATTATTTTTTTTATTAGGCTTTCATTTTCGAGTGTAGATATAGTACTTGAACGAGAAATGTTTTAATGTTTTCAAGTAATATTTATGTCGCAATGTGTGGTATGTGCAAATTGTAAAAAAATATATATTTTTCTTAACGGGTCATAACGGGTCGGGTCACTTTACCCGTTGGGTAAAGTGACACGACCTGTTAAGGACCCGTTAAGATAACGGGTGTGACACGACACGACCCGTTAAGATAACAGGTGTTACACGAAAACGACACGAACACGACAAACACGACCCGTTTGCCAGGCCTAGAATGAATGCAGCTTTGTGGCACTGTCCGTGGAAGCACTCAAAGCTTTTGTTTATATTCTTTTGCTTTTTGTATATAATATAATAAAAGGGCCTCCATATATCCTTACTCCAACATTTTTCTACTGAGCCTTTCATGATATTTAGATTATAATACATTGTTCTAGATATTATTGTACTTTTATGATATTTAGCTTAATCTGTTATGTAAATTGGGAATACAGTGTTCTAGATATTTAGATTATAATATTTTATGTATATGCTTTCATGATGCATTTTTTATTTCTTAAGTTAATATAAATTTTTCATGTATTAGTCTTTGTCTATACGATTATACGATGAATTGACTTTTATTGTTTATATGTTTGTTAATTTAGGAAGATGAATCACCCTGATAATCATGTGAATGATAATGCTAATCTGGATGAGATTGTTGAAAATTATAATGCTCCGCTGTGGAAGTATGTCAAAAAGCTCGAAAAAGTGGGAAATAGAGGAGGAGGAAATACTAAATTTGAGTGCAATTATTGTCAAAAAACTTATAAAGGATCCTACTCTAGGGTCAAGTTTCATTTGTTAAAAATGTCTGGAAATGGGATCGCGCCTTGCAACAAGGTTACTGATGAAACTCTTGCGGAAATGAATAAGTTAGTTCGAGAGTGTGAATACAAGTTGAAGAGTTCTGCTCCTAAACATGTTTCGTTGCCCAATACTGGTTCATTCTGTTATGATCTACCTGAAACAAATCTTGATCCAAAGAAGAGAAAGGGAATAAATGGGCCTCTCAGTAAAGCTTTTAACAAGGAGGCTCGAGATCAATGTGATGCCGAAGTTGCAAGGATGTTTTATACAGGTGGCTTATCATTTAACCTTGCAAGAAATCCGCACTATCGGAACTCATATGTTCGTGCTTCTACACTTCCAGGGTATGTTCCACCAGGTTACAACGCACTGAGAACTACTCTTCTGCAACAAGAGAAGAGTCACATTGAGCAGTGCCTCCAACCAATCAAGCGCACATGGAGCACTAAAGGTGTAAGTGTTTGCAGTGATGGGTGGACAGATGCTCAAAGGAGACCACTTATTAATATTATGGCAGCTTGTGAAAGTGGGCCAATGTTCTTGAGAGCAATTAATTGTGAAGGTGAATACAAAGACAAGCATTGTATTGCCAACTTTCTTACAGAAGCTATTAAAGAAATTGGTCATGAAAATGTTGTTCAAGTGATCACTGATAATGCCCCTGTTTGTAAAGCTGCTGGGTTACTTATTGAGGCCCACTATCCCCATATCTTTTGGACACCCTGTGTTGTTCACACTCTTAATCTTGCTTTGAAGAGTATATGTACTCCGAAACAAACAGAAGTTTCCTACGATGACTGCAATTGGATTTCAACTATTGCTAGTGATGCTTGGTCCATAAAAAATTTTATTATGAACCATAGCATGAGATTGTCCATGTTTAATGAACATTGCAAACTAAAGTTACTTTCCATTGCCGAAACAAGGTTTGTTTTCTCCACTTTTTTTTTTTCCTTATTTAATTATAAGTTGTCCTAATTTTTAAATTTTTCAGATTTGCTTCCACACTTGTGATGCTTAGAAGATTGAAGGAAATAAAGGAAGGTTTACAACAAATGGTGATTAGCCCGAATTGGGCTTTGTACAAAGAAGATGATTTGGTTAAAGCAATGATGGTGAAGCAAAAGATATTGGATGAGGATTTTTGGGAGAAGATTGATTATATTCTTTTCTTTACAGCTCCAATATATGAGGTTATTAGAATGGCTGACACAGATAAACCTTGTCTTCACTTGGTGTATGAGTGGTGGGATGCTATGATTGAAAAGGTGAAAGCTGCTATATACAGGAATGAGCGCAAGGCATTACATGAAAAAAACAGCTTTTTTGATGCGGTGTATCGCATTTTATTGGAGCGATGGACTAAAAGTAGCACACCACTTCATTGTTTGGCACATTCATTAAATCCAAGGTAATGATTTTGCTAACTTACTTATAAATTCTTCTAGATTAATTTTTAGTTATGAGTACATTTTTAAACTGTTATTTCTTTTATTTTAGGTATTATAGTTCAGAATGGCTCCAAGAAGACCCTAGTCGTCTTGCTCCACACCGAGATGTTGAACTTACAATTGAAAGGAAAAAGTGCTTTGAGAGATACTTTTCCAATGAGGAAATTAGAAGAAATATCAATGTGGAGTATGCCTCTTTCTCTATGTGCTTGAATGACTTTGGAGCTATTGATTCTATGAATGATAGATTTCATTTGGAACCAGTGATGTGGTGGATTGTCCATGGAGCTTCTACACCTAGTCTCCAATCCATAGCGTTGAAGCTACTTGGACAACCTTGTTCCTCCTCTTGTTGTGAAAGAAATTGGAGCACTTATAGTTTTGTTCACTCTTTAAGAAGGAACAAGATTACACCACAAAGAGCTGAGGATTTGGTATTTGTGCATAATAATCTTCGTCTTTTATCAAGGAATAGCTCAACCTACAAGGAAGGTATTACTCAATTGTGGGATGTTGGAGGAGATGGCTTTGAAAACTTGGGTGAAGAAAGTGTCGGGATGCTTGAAATAGCTAACCTTTCACATGATGAACCGTCATTGGAGACTACTTTAGTTACTGGAGGAGACATCATGAATGTGGAAGTTGAATGAGACTTTGCTTTTTTTAATTTTCGTTTGGATTTTCATTTTAATTTTTCAAGTTTGAAGACTAATTGCTTGTTGGATGGACTATCTTTCTAATTGTTAGGAGTTTATTGAAATAAATTTAAACTTGAGTAATAAATTTGAATGTTTATTTTATAATATTTTAGATATATTTATTTATTTATATATATTTTTAATTGCCGTATCCTTGACGTATCGTGTCTTCATTTTTAGAAATTTGACGTGTCCCCGTGTCGTATCGTATCGTATCGCCGTATCCGTGTCCGTGTCCATGCATCCTAGCACTACATTTAATTACCTTGAGGTTAGTGCTACAAATCTTCAATGTTACGATGGCTCTCTCTCCCTCTCCTTCCCCTCCTTTAGAGTCAGTAAAATGGAGTTGGGAGCACAACATTTTCACGTTTTTTATTTTTTATTTTTTGGTGGGTGGCTGTCACAAATTTGTTCTTTTTGAATCTCACATACATTTGTGTTGTGTAGCACAGGCTATATAATGTTTAATGTTGAACTGCAGGATAAGACGTCTGTTCCCTATGAACCTGTTTACAGTGATGCTAAAGCAAGGTAATTAATGCTACTGATTATCCACATTTTATTAGACCATTTCATGATCCAGTTTATAACGTTTGAACTCTGAAGCATGTATTTTGCTTTCAACGTGGACATGCACTCTAGACTCTTATGTTCCTATTAGATTTAAGGGGAAACTTGATATAAGTCCAATTTTTTGAGCCAATAGTAGGAATAGTCCAGTTTATTAAAATAAGTCCAATTTGTTATATTTAATTATTAATTATCAATAGTTATCTGTTCAATGATAAGATTTATTATAAAAATCAAATTTCTTCCCAATTATCTCTTTGCTTATTTCTTTTTATTTATCTTTTTGTTATTTCTCGTTCTTCCTCCTAGTTTAAACCCTATTTATAGATTTTATTTTTAATTTTTATAATCAACCTATATCACAGGTTAATTATATTTATCTACCTATATGACAGATTCTTTTTTTATAATCAACATGTCACAGATTAATGTGTCTTTTTGTTATTTCTCGTTCTTCCTCCTACTTTAAACCCCATTTATAGATTTTATTTTTAATTTTTATAATCAACCTATATCACAGGTTAATTATATTTATCTACCTATATGACAGATTCTTTTTTTATAATCAACCTGTCACAGATTAATGTGTCTTACTTGTAGGTATGTTATGTTTTTTCTACATTTTAATTAGGTTTCATATCTCACGTATAGGTATTATATACATTCATATATTTGTTACTTGAGTTAGGGTAGAATGTTTTGTAGATAAATTTATGTTAGTATATTAGTTTTTTTGTTATAAGATATTAAATATATTCTTTTGGAGTTGGAAAATGCATAATATTAGAAGATTTTAATTGATTTTTAATATTTTTAGAAAATATAAAATGAGTATAAAAGAAATAAAAACATATAATTAGATAACTGAACTCACTCCTAAAAACACTCTACATTTTTGGACCTAGATCTAAAAGCCCCTAGATTTAATAACGTTTTAATGCGATATATTTAAAATAGTATTTCCTATGGTTTTGAGGGACTTTTGACGCACTGATGGGCAGAAGGGCTGCACGCTTCTCTCCTCTGTGAGAGCTTTCTCTCCGCCGTGAGAGCCTTCCTCTGTGAGCGTCCTCTGTGAGCGTATCTCTCCTCTTGGTGAGAGTCTGATCGAGAAACCCAAAACTTTCTCCCCTGGTGTGACCGTCGAGAGTTCCTGCCTCTGTGCGTGGGGTTACAGGTTAGTTTTCGATCTGTGTTTTGTGCTTTTTAGGTCGAGCTCTGGGGCTTAGATCTACTGGGTGGTGGGCAAATGAGTCTCTGAAGCAGGAAGGTTGGTGGAGATAGGGCCCAGGGTGACGGATCGGGATTGGGGCTTTGCAACCTAGGTCGATCTATCCCACGAGGGCTGCAGGGGATGCTGCGCTGATCTGTGTGGGGGGTGTGCTTCTGTCAATTTGGAGTTAAGGGGTCTGTGCAGTTTGGGGCTTCAGTTGTGGTGAGTCGTAGATGTGGTGGTGGACTTCTATTGTTCTGGTAGGAAGTAGGGGGGGTGCTGTAAGGGCATAGGGTGACGGTAAGGGGTGGGGCTTCTCAATTTTAGGGTGTTTTTCTATTCGAGGGGGACTGGGGTGGGTTGGGGTTTATCAAATCAGGGTGATTCTCTCTTCGGGGGGGGGGGGGGGGGGTGATGGGGTGGGCGCTGTGATTGGGTTGGGGGTTCTCAAGGCTGTCAGTCAGGGTTACGGGGGCTGGTCTGTGGGTGGAAAGGGGAGGGGTTTCACATTTTGACAATTTCCGTATCGAAGGTGGTGGGGATTGCTGGGGTGATTATAGTGGGGGTGAGAAATCCGATCCACTTAGGTTGGGGGGGGGGCTTTAACGATCGGGAGGAATGGTGTATCAGCATTAAGCTTGGTCGAAAGGTTGTATTCATGAGGATACTAACGATGTGTTGACTAATTGGCCGAGTCGAAGAAGGGAATCAGTTGGTACACTGGGTGGCTTCTAAGTGTGGTCTGCGGTTGTTTACAGAAAGTAAAGGTTCTCTACGTTTCAGGCTGGGCGAGTGGGGCAGCGGTGCTACAGAGTGATGGCGACTAGTGGGGTGGATGAACTGGTAGTTCAACTGAACCAAACACTGGAGTTATCAAATATGGAGCAGGGAGTTAAATTGGTTGGGAAAGTCTTTACGCAGAAACCAGTGAACAAATGGGGAGTCAGGAATATTCTTAGAGCGGCTTGGAAAGAGTTGGGTGAGGCGGAAATAAAATGGGTAAAGGAGAATGTTTTTATTATCTCAGTCAAAGATGAAAATGTGGCTTCAAAGATCATTGAGCAGGTCCCCTGGGCAGTGATGAAAAATGTGTTCTCGGTCGTGAAATGGCCTCCGGAGTTCGCCTTAGAGGAGCTGGAGTTGAATGCTGTTCCATTTTGGACTCAAATAAGGGGAATTCCACTGGGCTTAGTCTCTGTTGAGAACGTACAGCGTGTAATCAAAGAGGCTGGGAAATTTATAGCCTTGGAGGATCCCGGACATGCTCGTGGATTTGTACGAGTAAGAATCTTAGTTGATACGGAGAAGCCATTATTTAAGGGATGCTGGATTCGAAGGGAGTCAAATAAGGAAACCTGGGTGGAATTTCGGTATGAACGGCTTCAAGATTTCTGCTACAGGTGTGGACGGATTGGGAATATCAATACAGAATGCTCTGTTGAGATGTCTGGAGAAGGGGAGGTGGCGTATGGAGAGTGGATTAAGGCGCCGCCGATAAGAGAGGTGGTGATACCAACGAGAGTGGAGTGTGTGGGCAGGGGGGAACGCCGGCAGGCCGGGGCGGTGCGCGGACCGGGATTCACGTCTGCATAGAATCAAGGTAGATTACGAATGTCAAACTTACAAAGAATGGAGCGTAATCAAACCAGAGAGATTGGGGGAGCATCTAAGAGCCGTGGCACAGGTCAAAAAAAATGGCGTAGAAGAATGCGGGTGGAGGGAGAAGATTCTTCCTCCTGCTCTGAAATGGAAAGCATCAAAACAGTGGGTGAAGGACAATCGGGCGATGTCCAGGGGGGCAATGATACTCTGTCTGCCCAGGGTGATGACCCACTATGGGGCCGCAAAAGAAGTGGGGAAGCACAAGATTTGGTGCTAACTCAAGTTCCACAGAAGAAACTCAAGGGCCCGGTTATAGAGGAGAACTGCCAAGGTGGGGCGGCAGAGATAGGAAGGAGTTTAGACAGCAAGGATGGAGGGCAAATGTTGGAAAGCGCGAACCGTACGGCGGAGGAGAATAAGGAAGAAATAAGTGAGAATACTGGAGGACAGGATGCAATGGAAGGGGGGTCGGAATTCGATAAAGGTAGGATGGTGACTCGAAAGGCGGGCAAGTGGGCTCGGGGCGGTGGCGGCTGGCCTTCAACAGCCGCAGGCCAGCCATGAGTTATTTCTTCTGGAACTGTCGTGGGCTAGGGTCGGACATGACAGTCAGGGCTCTCCATGGGCTTATTCGTAAAAAAAGACCCTCTATGATCTTTTTATCGGAGACTAAGATGAAAGATCATAGAATGCTAGGGGTGAGGAGGAGATTGGGTTCTGTTCATGGCTTTGATGTTCCGCCAGTTGGAAGTTCTGGAGGATTGAGCTTGTGGTGGGAGGACAATCTGGAGGTTAATATTATATTTTCGTCCAAGCATATTATTGATGCTGTGATGAGAATTAAAGGGCAAACACATTGGAGTCGGATTACGGGTGTGTACGGAACGCCGTATAGAGTTGAGAAAAATCTGTTTTGGGAGTGGATGGTTAACCACTTTACCCCTACGGACATTCCTTGGATTTGTGGCGGGGATTTCAACGAATTCCTGTGGGATCATGAGAAGTCTGGAGGAGTGGAGGTTTTGTACAACTGGCCAAGGTTCCTAGAAGAGTTTCTGTCTTCCTCTCAGTTGATGGACTTGGGTTTTAATGGGCCGGCTTTTACGTGGAGAGGGATGAGAAAAGGGGATTGGGGTGGAGGAAAGGTTAGACAGGGTTATAGCGAATGAGAAGTGGCAGCAACTCTGGCCGAACTCCCAAGTTATGCATGAAACGGTCTTAGCATCGGACCACTGCCCAGTTATTATTAATTATAATATTGAAGGGCAGAAAGGAAGGAAGATGTTCAGGTTTGAGGCGTATTGGGTCTCGGAGGAAGAGTGTAAGAATTTGGTGGAGAAGTGCTGGGAGCGGTGGCATAATGGCAGCCCTGTCAATAGGTGGGTGAGTGCTTTAAACGATTGCCGTTATCGTTTAAGCAGGTGGAATCGCACTAAGTTTATGGGGCGAGTAGCTGGATCCATGATCTTCTTTCCCAGTTGGATTTGCTCCAGCGGGACTGGGGACCAAACTATGATGAGATAAGGGAGATTTCTAGGCGGATTGATGAGCTAAGACTCCAAGAGGAGAGTTATTGGTGCCAGCGATCGAGGGTAAAATGGTTGAGGGAGGGGGATGCTAACACTCAGTTTTTTCACTCTTCAACCCTTCAGAGGCGGAGGAGAAATAAGATAGTGAAGCTTAGGGATGAGAATGGGAACTGGGTGGAGAGTCCGTCTCAGGTGCGCCAATTGGTGGATAATCACTTCACTTCAGTTTTTAGCTCGGCAGGGGACCGTAACTGGGGGTCGTTGCTAGATTGCATTAATCCCTTGGTTTCGCCAGATATGAATGAGGCGCTAATTGCACCAATCACGGAAGAGGAGATAAAGGTGGCGGCTGGGAGTATGGGAGGGCTAAAGGCTCCTGGCCCCGATGGGTTCCAGGGGATCTTTTATCAGACATACTGGGAGATTGTGAGGGAGGGTGTTTCTGCTTTAGTTAGAGATTTGATTCAGGATGCGGCGGGTTCGAGTTTGATAAATCAGACTCATGTGGTGCTGATTCCCAAAGTCCCGAATCTGGAAGTTGTGTCGCAATTCAGGCCGATTAGCCTATGCAACTACTCGTACAAAATCCTGTCAAAGATTCTTGCTAACCGGTTGAAGGTATTATTACCTAAAATTATCTCTCCTTCTCAGAATGCTTTTGTGGCGGGTAGACAAATTCAGGATTGCATTGGCATAGCACATGAGATGTTTCATTATCTGAAGGGAAGGAAAGCTCGGAATAGATTGGAAATGGGGATTAAACTTGATATGCAGAAGGCGTATGATAGGGTTGAATGGGATTTTTTGAATGCGGTAATGGAAAGAATGGGTTTTTGCAGTAGCTGGAGATCGTTAATTAGTGGCTGTGTCTCGTCTGTGAAGTTCGTTGTTCTCCTAAATGGGCAGGCTGGCAAGTCTTTTGTGCCCTCGCGGGGTCTACGTCAGGGGGATCCTCTTTCTCCTTATTTATTTATTTTGGTGGGGGAAGTTCTATCCAAAATGATTCAGGGTGCGGTTGACCAAGGTAGGTTGGATGGTGTTAAGATGGGTGGATCCGGACCCGTGATTTCTCACCTCTTCTTTGCGGATGATACCCTTCTGTTTTTGCGGGCTGATATGAAAAACTGCCGGAATTTGAGACATCTGCTGGACAATTTTTGTGTGGCGTCGGGGCAGAAGGTAAATTTGGAGAAATCTAATGTATATTTTGGGGCTAACGTTCCGAAGGTGAATGCTGATCAGATGGGGAACGCCCTTGGTATGACAGTTGTAATCAATCCGGGAACATATTTGGGGGTCCCTGCCATTTGGGGTCGGTCGAAAAAGCGTGGTCTTGCCTATGTGAAAGGAAGAGTAATGGAAAAGCTACAAGGGTGGAAACAAAATACTCTTTCCCGTGCCGGTAAAGAGGTTTTAATTAAGGCTGTTATCCAAGCTATCCCGGCATACCCAATGTGCATTTTCAAATTCCCAGCCGGTGTTTGTAAGGAATTGGATGCGTTGGTGGCTGGGTTCTGGTGGGGATGTAAGGAGGGAGCCCACAAGATTCACTGGGTTTCAAAGGAGGTTTTGGGTTTGCCCAAAGATATGGGTGGTTTAGGCTTCAGAAATTTTCAGGAATTTAATGATGCTCTGCTTGCTAAACAGTGCTGGCGGTTAATCACGGAACCGGATTCGTTGTGGGCAAAGGTGATTAAGGCTCGGTATTTTCCACATAGCTCGATCTGGGATGCGAAGAAGGGTGGACGGGCCTCTTGGGCGTGGAGCAGCCTCATCTGTGGCAGGGACGTGATTAGGGAAGGCTCCCATTGGCAGATCTTGGGTGGCCAGGAGGTGCGGGTGTGGCAGGATAGGTGGCTTCCATCCTTGCCCCTTGGACACCCGGTGCCGGTAGGCCAGGTTGCGGTTACTCCCAGTTTAAGGGTCAGTGCACTTATCTGTCCGGAGTCGGGACGATGGAACATTAGCTTTTTACAGCCTTTCATATCGGGGGAGGCTATGCTGGCTATTAAGGAGACGCCTCTTGGAGATTTAAGTCGTAAAGATAGGCTTATATGGGATATGAGTAAAAACGGTTCTTATTCGGTCAAGTTGGGATACAGATGGCTGCAAGGAAGATCGCTGGCGAGAAGGGATTTGCGTCGGCCTTCTGTTCGTGGGGTTCCCAAAGCGTTTTGGAAGGGGATTTGGAAGCTGGAGGTACCCCCCAAGTTGCGGCATTTCTTGTGGCTTACTGTTCATAATTGTCTTCCTACTCGGTATGCACTGTTCCGACGAAGGTCCTCTCAAACCTCTACTTGTCCTATTTGCTGCTGCCATGATGAAACCATTGAGCACATTTTCCTTTCTTGCTCTTGGGTTGAGCCAATTTGGTTTGGAGGGGCATTGGGCTATAAAATGGATCGTCTTTCTCTCCCTTCTTGGTCGGACTGGATTCAGGGGGTTTTCTCTCCGAATTTATGCAACTCTGGAGATATAATGTGGAGACAATCTTATATTGTTTTTACCTGTTGGTGCATATGGAAAGCTCGCTGTGATTTTGTTTTCAAAGGGGTGCCCATTAACCCGGTAAAGGTCCTGGCTGCTGTCTCGGAGATGGTGAGCTCTTTTTATGGTGCAAAGGCAATGGCTGGGGATAGAGGAGGGGGCGATGGCAGGAGGAACTTGCAGGTTACGAGATGGTGTGCTCCGGCCTACCCTTATGTGAAGATTAATGTGGATGCTAGCTGGTCCAAGGCATCAAAGATGGGTTTTGTTGGAGTGATTGTGAGGGACATGGAGCGTAAGTTTGTGGCTGCTGCGCGGCATCCTATTACTGCTCCTTCTGCTGCAGCAGCGGAAGCTTCTGCGTTGTTGCACGGGTGCATGCTTGGTGCAGAGTTGGGTGTAAGGTATGTAATACTGGAATCAGACTCCTTGGATGCGATTAAATGTCTTTCTATCTCTCTGTCTATGGGTAGTTGGGAGGCATACCCGGTGTTGGCTCGGGTTAAACAGTTGGGGGGGGATTTCATTGATTGCCGATGGTCTTGGGTGCCACGGTCTGCTAATGGCGTGGCTCACAAGATTGCATCGATTGGTTTTTCGGAGATGAGTGATGTCGTTTGGGTCGTTAGGCCCCCATCTTCGTTGGTCTATGTATTGAACAATGACGGATTACCGTGCCCTCATTAATGGGGTTATAGTGGTGCTGGGGATGACGCCTCTACTTGGTGGAGGGGTCGCTGTGGTTTATCCCCTGACACTGCTTGGTATTGTTATTATGGTTGCCTCTCTGTAGGCTTATTTATGATATGTTTCTTGACTTCAAAAAAAAAAAAAAAAATTTTTGACAATGTTATGTTAGTGGATGAGACATCATTCTATATTCATCTTTTTGAAAATATACTAGTAGAACTGTCACATTTAAAGTACCATGTGGTCATCATCTTATGTAGTTTAGTTCAGGTTGTCACGGACTACCTTATCATCATTTGTAAATCTACAGCAGATGTAAGAGAATTGGATGTTAAGCATACCTAGGATTTGAATATGCATATTCTTTTATATTCCTTTTTATAATATGCATATTCTTTTATTCCTTCTGTTGACTAACTTAAGATTTGTGAGATTTGGCCTTTTGGAATTCGTTTGTATTAATGAGTTTGTTTTGTGTGCATTTAGATTTCTTAAAGAGTACAGATTTGATATCTCAAAATTGGAGCCATTGGTGGCAAAGGTGCTCACATAGATTGGTCTCTTATAGTTTAATCTCCCTTATAGATATTCAATGATTTGTAATTTTGCCTCTCTTCTACGGTTAATTCATAAAAAGAATTGTATTCCAGCCTCATTCTCCAGATAATCGTGCTTTAGCAAGAGAATGCAAAGATGTGAAAATTGACAGAGTATATATCGGTTCTTGTACTGGTGGAAAAAAAGGGAGGATTTTATGGCTGCAGCCAGAGTTTTTTCTAGCATCTGTAAGGAGTCAAATCTTTGTCACATAAGTATTGGGATATTGTTTACAGATGCTGACTTCGGATATTGTTTACATATTCTGTAATGCTGACTTCAATTGACATCTGAATGTTTTTTTTTGGAAATTCTCTTTTCTTGGTTTAAGCTTAAAGATTTAATTCCTTTGCTGCAGGGGAAAAAGGTCAAAGTTCCCACATTTCTTGTGCCTGCTGCCCAAAAGGTTTGTCAAGCTACAGAATTAAGTGCTTCGGTGATAACATCTGTATATATAAATTTATCAAGAAATTTTATGAAAGGCATGATAAATGAAATCTTGTTTATTGTATATTCTGAAATCTGCGGGTTTGGATGGACGTGTATAGTCTGCCAGTTCCAGGGTCTGGTGGCAAGACTTGCTCCCAGATATTTGAGGAAGCTGGATGTGACGCACCTGCAAGTCCCACTTGCGGTGCTTGCATGGGTGGTCCGAAAGACACGCATGCACGCTTAAATGAACCTCAGGCGAGTGCATCCTTTCTGCAACACATTCATAAGAATCTAATGTGCTCTCCTGTCTTGGGGCAGCTGGACGTCATGCATTGTTGCATTTCACTATGTCGTCTTCGATAGAATTGGGACTGACTTCCCTGCCTTTGGGGTTCATAACCCAATTTGCTGATAACCTTGTTGCAAGGAGAACATCTTGGTTTTAGTTTCAATTGTATTGAAAATAAATACTGGTAGATTATTAACCATCTTGTCTTTGCAGGTATGCGTCTCGACAACAAACAGGAACTTCCCAGGTCGAATGGGTCACAAGGAAGGCCAGATATATCTCGCTTCCCCCTATACGGCTGCTGCGTCAGCTTTGACTGGTTACGTCACCGACCCGAGAGAGTTTTTGCAGTAGGCAGTTTTATCATTACAATCTGATCAGTGTATGTCATCTTTATATTCTGCAACTAAATGCTGTTAGATAGCAGAGATTACGGAATAATGGGTATAACATCCATCCTGCAAGGTTTTATGTCTTGTGATTGTCGGGTAGCTGCCATATTGTATGTGTAATCGTTTGAGCATGTTAGAATGTATTTATGAAACGATGGAATAATGAGGGCTTGTCGGTGAACTTCTCACTCTATGCAGTATTGTCTGTTCCAACACAACGGATGTGAGTTATAAGAGCCAGTAACACGATCACAGTGAGAAGCTGCTCAATATCAGTAACTCTCAGAGATTACTCTCTGTACAACAAGAGCAGAGCTCTGATACCAATTGAAATTGGTATTAGGCGGATTATCCTGCTAAAAAGAATTAACTTTGCACAGTAAACTAGTCAAATGAGCTAGATAACTAGTTACAAGTTTTTCAGTGACAGAAAGTACAGTTGCAAGAACTAAACTTAATTGACTAGTACATCTAACTAGTTAGAGTCTACCTAGATCTGTCTTAACAACAAAAAATCACAAAATGGAACGCATTCACATATCTGTCCATTATGCAAACAACGATGACAAAGCAACGATGACTAGTCAACTAAGTACAGATTCGTTAGTTAACCAAGCACAAATCTATCTAACAGACTTAGTTTCCTACGAGTTATTCTAGTCAACAACAATACAGTTCATTTTTAATATTAGAAAGTCAGAAAGAGAGTTTAGTGTCTCAAGGCTTCACAAAAAAAAAATTGGACTATAAAGCCCCTCAAACAAAAAAAATCTAAAACTAAAACTGAATTTGATACATGAAAACAAGGGCAATTTTGTGAAAAAAAAACATAAATCTAAAATTCTTTTTATTAGAAGAAAAAAAAGGAAAAAAAAAAAAAAAGGGTAAGAAGTGCTGGAACCGGTGAAACATTTAATATCTCAAAATTGCCCCTTTTATTACAGGTTGTAAAAATAATAAAAAGTAAAAATGTAAGGACATGATGATAAAAACATGGCAAGGAGAGAAAGTGGAGGAAAGAAAATAGAACGTGTAGAAAGAAAGAACCTGTATTTTAAGCAGTTGCCGTAGTAGTCTCCCACTGTAACAAAATTATATTTTAAAAAAATATCTAAGAAATTTAAAAATGAGATTAAAAAAAGGGGATGTGCTGAAATCCCTGATTTATTTTCTTATAAAAAACGAGATAAAATGAATTTAACCCAACCAACCAACACCACTCCTCCTCCATTTTAGAAGAGCCTGAGTGTTTAATATCTCACAAAAATAAAAATAAGAAAATACAAAATAAAACACAGCCATAGTATTGTAACAAAAAACAGAAACTTAAAATTGTTTCTATTGAAAAAAAAAAAAAAAAAAGACATGACCAACTCCACTCCTCCATTTTCAGAGAGAGAAGGGGACTAATATGTCATAGAAATATTGTTAAAAAAACAGAAACTTAAAATTTGTTTTATTGAAAAATGAAAAAAAATAAAGAAAAAAGGAAAAAAAATAAATGAAAGAGACGTGACCAACTCCACTCCTCTTTCATTTTCGGAGAAAATATTAATCTAACAAAATTATATTTAAAAAAATATCTAAGAAATTTTAAAATGAGATAAAAAGAATTTAATAACTCACAAAATTATATATTTATATATAGATATATACGAAATCAACGTGGGAGAAAGAAAGGAGTAGAGGTTGCTGTGAGTTTTCAAAAAGGAGTGTAATTCGCCCACTACAAGCGCTAACTTCCCAGTTTGTAAAATCCCATTTTTTCCGTTTCTACTCATTTTCCCATATCCAAATTCAAATGTTATAATTTTCCCCTCAGTTATGTAACTGCCATCAACAGTTGTTGCTTGGTACTACAGACTCTCACCCTCCAACGTGGGATAAAACGGGTTTAAGTAACGTACGAGTCATCATTCTTCTTTTTTTTTCAATTTTTTCGCTTTTTTGCTTTGTCACTCTTCTCTCTCTCCCTCTTCCCAGGCGTAAAAGGGAAATTAATTTGGGTGTCAGCTTCTTTTGCTATAGCTTTTGCAAACTCTAATTCGTATACATATTCATTTGTGTATATATATAAATATATGTATATGCATTTTTGTGGTTAAAATCTTGGTGCTTTTTATTCCAATTTTTTTATTCTTTCTCTCTCCTTTTTGTTATGGGGTCAATGGAGTATAAGCCCTATTACTGAGAAACTACATAAGGTTGTGGTGGTCTATTCTTTTCACAAAATGTTTCTGTTGCAAATAATTCTACCATTTTTCACCGCCTGCACATTTGCAATAAACTCTCTCTCATAAGTGGATAATGCTTCGTTTCTAGGACCTAATGATTGGCTGGAGAAGGCAATAGGTTTACCTTATTTGGCATGACTGGGGCCTGTGGAGATCTCATCACTTGTTTCAATTGACTAAAAGCATCTTGGGCACTAGGTGACCAAAGAAACCCTTCTGTCTTTGTGAGTTGATAAAATGGCTAACATATCTTGCCATACCCAAGAATAAAACTTCCTGTAATACCCAGAGAGTCAAAAACCCTCTCAGACCCTTCACAGTAGTGTGTATTGGCCAATCCACAATTGCTTGCAATTTAGAGGGGTCAGCAGCTACACATACTCTAGAAACAATATGACCAAGGTATTCTACCTTGCTCTGACTAATGAGCATTTTTGTTCCTTGATGAACAATTGATGATTCTTCAGAATCTTAATGCCTAGATGAACCAAGTGGTTTGCCCATGATTTGTTGTCGATTAATATCACCAAAGAACCACCACAATGAGTTGTAGAGGTAAGGCTTAAAATATTGTCATTCATGAGGTTTTGAAATGTAGCTGGTACATAGGTTAACCCAAATGGTCAAGCATAACCAAAAACTCATAATGACCCTCATGTATTCCAAAAGCAGTTTTCTTCAATGTCATCAGAATACATCCTAATTTGATGATATTCTGATCTTAAATCCAATTTATGGAAATACTGAGCTCCAAAAAGTTCATCTAACAAATCATCAATCAAGGTATGGGAAACGTATCCTTGATGGTGATAGAACTTAGCTCCATGTAATCCATG